TTTTTAAGGTGAAAGTGGAGGGATAGATGTATGTGTTCCAGCAGTTTGCAAGTACATTTTTCAGAGTGAGGTACTCCAAGTGAGATTCTGCTGCTGATAATGATTCATCCGAGAGGATGGAAGTGATTCTTCAGTGCTTTATAGGTCTTCAGATAAGTCAGTTGAAGAATAGCCCTCTTTGCCACAGCTAGCCGGAGCTGAGTCAATTATAGAAAGGAGTTTTATTAATAGTTAAATTAAATAGTAGCTTCAGTAACGTTAGCCGCGACAGTAGCCTTAATTGAAGATTATGCCACTGGGTGATTTGCTGTATGTTTTCTTCCGTCATTTCAATCAGTAGCACACCCTTACTGCTGAAACCATTTGCCTTAACCTCAATTTTATTAGCTTTCAGAAATGCTGAAGAATTAGTACGCTGTTTTTAAAGTGCCTCATACGGTCAGATTCTGGGGCTTTTACTGCTATCACAATTCAAGTAAGAAACTGCGTAGACTGGGGAAGAAGTGGATGAGAGTATAAAGGCTCTGCTGATAGCGAGCTTCGAGGTGGCGTTGGCGGTATCTGCTGCGGGTTTATGCCTGGCTGCTCAGGATCTTCAGGCTGTCGTGCTGGCTGCAGGAGGACTCTGCTTTGCTCTTTAAACTTTTAACGCTGAAGCAGAGTGACTGTGGTGTGGCAGATGGCACGGCGTAGACTTCTGATACATCACTGTTTCTTGGCTGTTGTCCTTGTGGCAGCTGTGTCTGGTTAGGGAGCTCAGAAATGCCTGACAATAATTACCTTTAATTTCTGCAGGCGTCAGCGTGGTGATTTGGGGACTGTGTTTATTCTTTTCTGTTTGTTCCGCGCTACCCATGCTGCCTTTGTTATGCTGCTGATACAACTGTTCAGTAGAAGTTTTTTGTGTGCTTTTTGGTTTTTTTTATACAGTGCCCTGGATAATTTTTTGTCTTGTCTTTTCTCTGAACATTTCACCAAAGGTCTGAATTCACTTCCCATTCCCTGCTTACCTTCTTATGAATAGTTTCTTTATTCTTTTGTACGTTTAAACAAATTAAAACTGAAGTTTTATGACTTACACTATGCTGAACCTGTATAAATATTGACCCAGATGAAAATATTTACTGGGGTATTGGTTCATCTGTACGTATTGGAGTACACAGAAATGCTAAACTGTGGTGATAAAGAAACCTCCGTGTTGAGACGCTGTATTTTGTGTAACCTTGAAAATGAATGTGAATTCTTTGCAAACGGGTTAAAAGCATAAAGTGAAAAGAGAGTAGGCTGTGAGTGCGTACAGGTTCCGCAAATGCTTTAGCAATGGCCGTGCCTCAAAACTTGGGCTTGTTGGGACAAGGAGGACAAGGGCAGACTTGCAGGTAGGCAGGCGAATCGCCAAGGTTCTGGGAAGTCTGGAGAACAGTCGGTTCTTCCGAAGGCTTGTGCTGATGAATGAGTTTTGAACTTCTGAAAATAATGTGAAATTCACTCGAAGAGGAATCCCACTTCCTTTCCCTGGAAAAAAAAGTGGAAAAGTTTATAGGCGATTTCATCTTGTCCAGAAAGTCTGTGAACAGTTTTATCATTTAAGATGGATTAAGTGTGAGTGATGGCAGCCAGAGAATTTGTAAAAACAGGAGTTTAAACATCAGAATTTTATATTTCCTTGATAGAGAACCTGTAGCATTTGCAAAAAAACTTTAAAAGGTGTTAGAAAAAAAAATATTTTTAAATAAAAAGTGAGTACTGTTATGGTATAGTGATCTGTATGAAGCGAGGACTGCATTAAATGACCTGAAAGACAAGATGGCTGATGATGTTTTCTGGACTTATTTTTGCGTGTTTGTATTTTGTGTGTATTAATAATGAATTCAATATAGTTTGTCATCTATCAGTGACAAAAGAGTAAAACAAGTGCCTAATTAGGCTAGGTAATATTTGTTGGACCTGGCATCGGTACCTTGGGAACGTGGGAGTGTGTAAGTGCGGTTTGGTTTTGTGAGTGCGGGGAGGCCCTTGGCAAGGTGGAAGAGGCAGGACAGACGGCCTGGGGAGAAGACTCCCGTCTCGTAACCTGTCGTCCCCGGCTTACTGGTACCAGTCAGGGACATCTCCGCCAAAGTTAACCAGGTTGCTGTACCCAGGTGTGACAGTACATGTCCCTCCGCCGTGCAGTTGGAGTCTGTTGGCTGCTTGCTTACTGATTTCTGATTAAAATAATGCGAACTTTGGTGAGGCGTGGTAGAGGAGCAGCAGAGCTCATCGAAGTGTCAAATTCATAGCAGCTTTAAAAGAAAGTGTTTTAATTTACGGATGTGTGGCAGTATGGGATGTGAAAATCATTAGTTCACTTTAATCAGTATCTAATCTCTCAGTGAGCGGTGCTTTCCAGAAACAGCAGATTACTCATTTCTGTTTTGATGTGTGATACCTTTGTGGGTTGATGCAACGTGCACCACCACCAAGAAATCATGGGGGTCTTGGTTATGCAGTTCCGTGATTTTGTGGAAGTACTGCACAGTCAATTACAAGATAGGTGACATGAAGCATTTCGCTTGCTTTTTAGCAAATGACAAGAGCAAGGCGTACTGTACTGGGAGGAAGGCAGTAAACCCATTTAATGCACAATTCAATGAATAAACAATTATGTCTGTGGAGGTCTTTGTGGTTGCATGGCCTTATCCTCTGTATTTTCCTGCAAGACAGATGAACTTCAGATAAGATATTTTCAGTCACATCTTGCCCAGAGTAAAAGTAATTAGATACTGTCTGGAGGAAAATCTGATCTCTCACTGACCAAGTCAAAATGAGAAAACTTAAAGTTTGCTCTTGCGAAAAGAAGATATTGGCAATCTAAATCATAATAATAAAGTTGTCAAAGTGTTGGTAACCTGTAGCCTGATGCTACTCTGCTTCTTCTCTTCTACTATTGGAAATTAACTGAGTTTTAGTCAGTTGAAAATCTTCTGCCACTAACTTCCCTTAATTCTGTAAATTTGTGCTGGTCTTAATGGCATGGTTAAGGTAGGATCGAGTTTGTAATTACCTGTATTGTACTTCTGTAACATTTCCAGTGCAATATTTTCCAGTAGCATTGATGTTAATCCAGACCAGCAGGCTTCAGAGAAGACAAAGTAATATTTGGATATATAATATAATAGTAGAGCATTGATCGTGCCATGTTAATTGGCTTTGAACTGTTGGAATTAAGGAAGACTGCATCTTACTAGTGTACTTGCAAACTTTGTAGCAGCTGAACAACTGAACCAGAAAGTGATCAAAGTGACAAAATGATCAAAGTGACGGGAAATGGTATTTAAAAGTATAATCAAAAGGGATACCATTAAATAAATATTTCTTTATGCTATACATGTAAAAAAAAAAAAAAAGAAAAAGAAACATGAAATAATTAAAAAA